TTCTGTGATTGTATCGCGTGGGAGGTGGTTCATGTTACATTTTTTCAGAGATCATATTTAACAGCAGTCATTTCACTTATATACAGCCACTTTATGTCGGCTACTGTTATGATGAAAAGATTGAAAGGTATAAATAATTCTCATTAGACTCAGCGCAGTAGAGTGGAGGATAGTGCTCTTGTTGTAGTCCTCTGTTAGTGTTATCTGGGAGTTGTAGTTTTGACTGAAAAGCCTTTTTTCCGCCGCTGGTTTGGAGAATCCTGAGCGACCAAAAGCAGTGATGGCTCCTTCTTCTTTCTGCCCCTTACTTTTCCTTGGTTCTTATAGTTGACCTCATGAAGTAGATAAAGTGCTGAAGTGTTGTGCATGTTTTGGGTTGGTCTTTCCTTTAATGTTGTACAGTTCTAGAGCAATAAAACACCCTGAATTAAATTTAGAAGTTAGATTATGAAATTTTGAACTAAATAAATACAAAGTCCTTTATTCCAGAGTATTGTAAACCAACAAATGCATCTTTTAAAAAAATAACAATTAATTTAGTACATTATAATTGCATTATTACTATACATTATAATTATTTATTTATTTCAAATTTCTTTACTGCAGTTTGGCATCCTCTCCAGCAGATGACGTCCTTGGTAACACCTTGTGGTATATATCCAGCTAGGGTCGGTGAAGCAATGGCATCTCCATGTCATGTTCCATGTAGACAAACACGGAGCTGATGCCCCACCAGAAATGTTAAGATGGACTGATATTGTCTTGTATTTCTGTCAGTGCACGTGCACAAACATTCATGTTTTATTAACATACACTTATGTGTAATGCTCACTAATACTCATTCTCAAATGTTTTTTTTTTTTTTTTTTTTATAGAGACAACCCTACACCTATGTTTCTGGTCTGACAGGTTGCATGCATATTCCCCTGTTCCTGGCCTCAGGTTAAATACCAAACAAGTGTGTGAAGGTAGCTTCACAGACCAGTCTGACCTATAAAAACAGTCAAGCGTGTTTTGATTTTCAGTTAACTTTAGGAGCAAGTGTCTGTGGAGCAGAAGAGGAGAGAGGGAGCCATGAAACTTAAATCTGTATTTATTTTGATGCTTGTAGTCATTTTTTGGGCGATCATGGGCACTATTCTGCATGGGGGGAGAAGGCATTATGGGTAAGTGCACACACTATTACTGGAGGTAACTGGAGCTATAGTCTCACTACATATAAATACAGGCAGGTGATTGGGTACTTGGTTGTGCTATGAGGAGGAATTTAAAACTTTAAAATAAACCAAATGAATGATTGTTAAGGGTGTGTAGTCGGGGCAGACGGTTTTGGGTGGTTTCTTCACTACCATTAAAACTCGTATAAACTTATTATAAACTCTTGTTAATAACAAATGCAAAACAGAAAACAGTGGTCTGGAAATAATATCGTGAACATGGTTTGCTGATCTTGTTACAGCTACTGAAGAAGTGTTTGTTGCAGTTGTATTAAATATATGAACTATTTTTGATCTAACACCACATCTCAAAGGCCCATCTGTCTTCCAGGCAACTATTGGTTCATCTGTGCTATTCCTTTGTCTGGAATATCCCGCAAAATGGCATTAAAGGTTCATTCTATTCGGAATTTTTAAACTGAACTTATAGTCACTTAGCAGTGATCATTTATCTGCTTTGCAAGTTTCAGCTACTTCCTTCTTTGGAAGAGGAGTACAGGAAGAAGTAGAAAAACATGTAGGAACTCAAGGGAGCCCACACCTCTTCACAGATCTGACTGGTTACAAATGGGAGACAGGCTAAGTGCAGGCTTCAAATATTTTGAGCAGGCATTAAATGGTGAAACTAAATAGTCAAATCAAATCAGATCAGATCAGATCAGATCAGAGTGGCTCATTTGTTTCAGCTGTCACTTTACACTGAGACAGGTCCATGCCAAACTCTACAGCTGTATGACGCATCCTTATATAATAAAAACGTTATGTTATGCATAGCTCCCTTATTCATCTCTGTATTGTGTTTTCCTAACCCATAACCTTTTTTACCATGGCACTAGGATTTATATAGCAACTTTCATGACATTCAAAACATTTCACACAGATTTTGTGCATTCTGTGGTGGCCCAGGGGTGTAGCTAGTGTTGAAGTTAAAGTAGCAATGTCCTGTACTTAAGTAAGAATTACAATTTGAGAGAAGACATCAGTACTTTCTACTCCATTACATTTTTAAACTGCACTGAAAAGAAAAAGTAGTTTTTATTATTGTCTGAAAAGGCTGAGGGGTTTATTTATTTTTATTTTTTTATCAAGTTCATAGTTTCAGCAAACAAAAATATACAAATAAAACAGCTCGGGAAACAAAATGATTGATTCAATTGTTTGTGTTGAACAAAATTCAGCACAAGTCATCCTAATCACTACATTTGAAGCTTTATTAGAACTCAAAATCAGCGCAGAAATAGTTTTACTTTTTACTCTTGAAGTACTTACTTCAAAGGCACTTCAATACTTTTACTTAAGTAGATTTTTTCATGTGATACTTTTACCTGAATATTTTTCTGCTCCAGTATCTGTACTTTTACTTGAGTAACAAAACTGAATACTACATCCACCACTGGGAGTAGCACTAAATTCTGGGCCCTAGGTACAAATCATCTTGGTGATGGGCTCACACTATATTGTCTAATAAAAAGTGAGGGACCCTTTCTTTCCCTGGCCCCTGGATAAACAGTACTATCTATTCCCCCAGTTACTACTTGTGTCTTGCCCATAGACCAACAATTTGTACTAAAGCCACTGTTGCTCCACTGTGCCACCTGGTCTCCCATCCAAGTATTTTATAAATGATCAATGCATTTTGCTATTGAAAATTAAAGGTGCAGTGTGTAACTTTTCCTGAAGGGGGTCCACAGCCTGTTTGCTTTTATTTAAATTGTCCACAGTATGGTATTACACTGTGTATTTTAATATGCATTTATTCAACTACAGGTTATTTCTCAAAAATATCTTAAAAACATTGATTCTTACTGTCAGTGGGGTCGCCTCTCCACAAATCTAACCTGTAATTTGGCTCGCAAGTCTCCATGGCGATTCATAAGTTTATGGCCATACTGTGGAACATTCTAGGCAAATCTCGACAAGCAGGTGACAGACCCTCCAGCAGACAAGTTATCCAGTGCACTTTTAATTATAGCAAAATAAAAGAAGAGCTTTGTATCTGTGTGGCGTTTGCAGGTTACGGTGAGTTTAGTCAGTTTCCTTTTAGGTCTTAACATAGTTTGGTTAGAAACTTGAATAGAAACTGCAGCTTTAAAACTGCATCGCTCTGGTTTTCAGTGATGGAGAACCAATCAGACAACCACAAGAATGTAATAATTGCAGGTAAGCAACGCAATGCATTTTGCACTTTACAGTCCTAAGTTTCCTTTATCTCGTATTACCATAGATAAGTTTCCTTTATCTCCATTTATTACCATACTTGGACTTATCTAACCCGCTATCTGCCCATTCCAAATCGGTAGTGTGCGTGGGCATGCTTCTGGCTCCATTGACTCTGGCTCCACTTGCACCTCTCTCTGTAATTGCTGCTGTCAGACTCGTCATATTGTTCACAGAAACCCGCTCTACATGATCCTGATTTTTATTTAGCTATTTTGTCAAGATATGAACATTAATAGCAGACAAATCAGGCGCCTCCTTTCCTCGAGGTCATTCCTGGTAACGTTATCAGCGGGTCTGATTAACTGGTTTGCTAAGTGCCAACTCTCTGCTAAACCAGTAATGCGGGTGATAAGGAGCGTTACCTTCAACCCCTTTGCTCCGGATTGGCTCTTTGGTTGCTATGATACTCTCGGGTTGTAAATCCTAAATATAAAACTTGGCTGTAAATTCTCTTCTATAACTGCTGGCATTGATGATGTAAAATAAACCACACTTGCTTATGGTATTTTCAAATGAATTAACATACATATAATACACAAATATAATTGTAAGCCAAGATACGAAAACCTTTAAATTCATTACTGCCATTATAATAGAATTAGCTGTTTAACTGGTTTATGCTTAATATCTCTGTAATTACTGGGTCTGTTCACGTGGTACAAAATATGGCACAAGGTTCAACAGCTTCTCTGTCAGCATAATTTAAAAAGACATGACAGTTGAAAGGGCACATGAGAGCGATAAGAGTAATATAGCAGGTTTCTGGACATAAACCCCAACAAATAATGATACAATTCAACATTTTTGGATCATAGTTTTGGACATTTCCTTCAAAAACTGTGAATCTCCAATAGAGCTATATAGGCCCCTGCAGTCTATCTGAAATAATGTGTCAGTATATTTGTAACTGCTTTATACATATAATCCATTATGTTATAGATGATATATAAAGGCACATATACTTGTATCTGTTTGTGTTTAATATGGATCAGTTTATAGAAATCAAGCAAAACGCAGTGAAGATATTATATTATATTGTTTTTGTCTCAACACAGTGAAGTACAACCATCACCTATGGACATCTGTGAGAACTGCGAGTGAGTACCACTATTAAAGATGCATTGTGTAACTTTTCTGGTGGAGGGAATATACCATCTGCTTGTCCTCATAGAGATGTCAGTGCTTTGGCTGGAATGTTCGACAGTATGGCATTAAAAATGTCTAGCTACCATTTATTTAAAGGTTGTATGGAGGATTTATTTTTTTTGTTTCAAATTGAAAGTTTAAAATACCATTACAGAGATGCAGCAGTCTTGTAATTATGATGACCAATAAAAAAGAATGAAAATCTATCAACTGTGGACGTAGTGAGGCCTGATAAACATCAGCCAATAGATAGTGAGGCTCCCTCATAATTTATTGGCTGTTAGGTTGTCAATCAAACTCCCTACGTTTCTAGTGTAACTGACTTGCTGGCGTGTGGGGATTATGTGGTTGATGCAGTGGTTCTTAGAGGCTTTTTCAAACTGTAGCTTCCTCACAGTTCACACAAAGTTTGTTGCGATGGCCGATGAGAATCCACAACCAGTTCTACGCAAAGGAAAGTCAGTTTTCGAGGTCGCTGAAAGAAGAAGAGAAGGGGAAAAGGAGCAAAGACAAACTGAGGTGATTCTTGGAGATTCCTTCCAGCGATGGCGTGACTGAAGCAGATAAAGAGTCTAAAAACATGTCGGTCGCTAAATTATTTCTAGACAGGTCACTTCAGCAGTAATTCTGAACACGCACTGGCTGTAAACAAGCGTGATTTCTGGAGTAAGGAGGTGGGAGGAGGTGTTTCTACTGAGGGAGCTGTGGAGGAGGAAGGTGGTGTCACGCACGCACAACATCTGAAAAAGGACTGTCGCTGTTTTTCTCTTCCCTTAAAAAATCCTCTATACAACCTTTAAAAATGCACTATCATCTGGGAGAGAGTCTAGCACCTGGTTGTCTCCATGGAGATGTTTTTGTTTTGTTTTTTGCTTGAAAAGTTCTGCAGCATGGCATTAAACCTGTCACTCTTGCATTTATTCAATTAGATGTGCTTTTACTGGTATCTCATGCTTGTGCCCATGGAGAGATATGTTTAAAGCGGTACTGTGGAACATTCTGGACAAAGTAGTGCACTTTTATTTCTCAAAAATACATGTAACATAGACTTGTGGTGTGACCTGCTTGTTATCATGGAGATAGATCAGTTAAAATTCATACTCTGGTACATTCTAATCTAGGCAAAGTAATAAAATCAAGATGACAAGAGATAAGATGCATTGAACTTTTAAATATTATAAATAATACATGACAGAAATGTTTAAAATCACTTGTGTATTTTACAGAGAATTGATTGAAAAAGTCTTGGACGTCTATTCTCAGACTTGGACCAAAAATGAAGAGAATCACCTAAAATTAAAGTCTGATTTTGAATATTCATCTGTTTATTTGTTTTGTTTTGTGTGAGACTACAGGTTTTGATATTGTTTTTTGCAGATCTAAGCTCAGTTTCAATTGTAATGGTTTTGACGAGGCCATAGTGACTCAGGAAAACACTCCTCTGAGGTCTGAGGTGGTTTACGATGGAGACAAGAACAAGACCACTGTGATGGTGACAGAGGAGATCTTCAGCACATTTGCAAAGGTTTGTGGTGAGAAGCCATACACTAAATCAGTTTTTTCCTTCTAAATATAATGTTGTAAAAGCATTATCTACTGTTACTTACTGTCATTTTTGGTAGTACAAATTAGGTACAGCTTTCTGCTCAAAAATGTAGTTGGTGACATCAAAAAAAAAAACTGTTGGACCATTCACACTGTTCATTATAAGCTTCATGACAGTTAGATTATTATTGTTTGTGTTTTCCTTGTTGCAAAACAGGTTCAGTTATCTCGTATAATGTATAATTTCACTTGGAAAGGCAATACACACAATACAGGTGGTAGCAGAAGGAGGAGATTTACAAAGAATCCTATATTTTATTTTAAAGATGCACTGTGGAACTTTTCTGGTGGAGAGTCCATCACATGCTTGTTTCTCTGGATATGTCATTGCTCTACCTGGAATGTTCCACAGTATGACATTAAACAGCTCTGACTTACATATTTTCAATTACAAGTGGAATTCAAGAATACTTAGAAAAACAGTATTCAGTATTCTCACTGTGAGCGGGGTCACCTCTTCACAGATCTGACCTGTAACTTGGTCTGGTTTGGTCTCCATAGGATAGAAAGGTTTAAAACCATACTGTATAACATTCCAGACAAAGCAATAACATCTCTGTGGAGAAAAGAATTTGACAGAGCCTGCACCAGAAAAGCTACACAGTGCAGCTTTAATGAAAATAGATAAAAATATTCATTTTTTTACTTTAAGAAAAACGTCTTAAGTACAGGAATAACTCTGGTGCTACTCAAACTGGAAAATTCAAACAAACAAACAAACAATAAATAAATGAATGAATAAATAAGCTTTAAAGGGACAGTCCAGAATTTGGACATAGAGCCTCATTTCCTAGTGAACCAAAGTGTTGGAGACGTGTGGAGACACTTTTTAAAATATTCCATCCAGTCCTTGTATTTGCAGAGGTCGCTGGTGCTAGGCTAGTGCATGTCAATGGTCATAGTTATCCTGCCACTAAAAACAGTCTTACCCACTCCACAAAACACCCAAAGCAAATCTATTATCACGCCAGACTGCCGGTGTAAATATCTGTGTTGATAGAATAATGTTTGAAATAAAACTAACCTTGCATCGCATGAATATGTTGGGGGACTATTTCCTCATCAGCAGCGGAATTTTACTTTGCCGGTAAGAAAGGTGCTAGGTGATATCAGTTTGCCGGTGCTAAACTTTCTATCAGGAAGTATAACTTGCTGCTGTCCAGACATAAATCCTTCAAATGCAAGGTTGGTTTTACTTCTAAAATTATTCTATCAAAATGGACATTTACATGGACAGTCTGGTGTAATAATAGATTTGTTTTAGGTGTTTTGTGGAGTGGGTAAGACTGTTTTTAGTGACAGGATAACTATGGCCATTGACATGCACTAGCTTAGCACCAGTGACCTCTGCAAATACAAGGACTGGATGGAATATTTAAAAAAGTGTCTCCACACATCTCCAACACTTTGGCTCAGTAGGAAATGAGGTCCTATGTCCAAAATTCCAGACTGTCCCTTTAATTCTCACAATGAACTACAATGCACAATGGTGTCTTTACTGTAGACTCACCCTTTCTCAAACAAAAGTCTGGACACATGTGCTGTTGTTGGGAATGGGGGGATTCTGGCCAATAGCAGCTGTGGAGAGGCCATAGACTCCGCCCAATTTGTGATCAGGTGAGACACGTAAAAATTTAAAGATATGTAAAATGTGCAAGTTCAAAATACACTTTGTTTTCTGTAGGTGCAACATGCCGCCACTAGAGGGCAAATTCTCCATAGATGTGGGGACAAAGACTGATATTGTGACCGCGAATCCGAGTATTCTTGTAGAAAAGTAAGTTTTTTTTTGTTTTTTTCTTCTCAGTTTTCATGGAGTAAATAAGTAGCGATGTGAGGTGGTTAATTAAAGGAGCACTATGGGTTTGCCATCTGTTTGTCTCCAAGGAGATGTTAGCTTTGCCTGGAATATTCCATAACATTTATATATAACATTTATCTTATTACAAAAAAGTGATTAATTACAGGTGTTTTTATTCTTCAATCTTGAAAAAAACGCATTAGTACGGTAAGTGGGGTATCCTTTCCACAGAGCTGACCTGTAACTGTCTTGGCCTAATGGATCCATGCACCTGCTCGTCATGACACCAAGGTGATATATACATAAATGCCATACTGTGGACAATTGTATTCAAAGCAGTGGCATCTCAATTTATTTTATGCTGATCAAAAAGAAATGCTTAGGTCAAATAGTTTCTTATGCATATCATTTTTTGCATACAATTTAAAAGTTCCATATTGTGCTATTTTCTGATCCATGTTCTGATGTTGTTCCTCATCAAAACATACCAGGAATTGTGTTTTGTTTCATTCCCACATGTTTAACACACAAATCCTCCATATTTAGGCTGAGTTCTTCTCTCAAACAGAAAACACTGTGTTTTACCTTGTGATGTCATGCGGTATACGAGAGTTGTTTTTAAACTCAAACACCTTCACTAGAATCATTTTGACGATTGCAGCCCTGGAATTGTCCACCTTTACTGAACTAAAGGTAAAAGGTAGTTGTTAATTTGAAAAGTACCACTACATGACAACACAAGGTGGAATAGAGAATTTGGAGCTTTGGAGATGTAGACAGACTAATAATAAAGGATTACTCAAACATGTGTGGATGAAACAAAACTCTAGCTATGTTTTTTGATGAAGTAACAGCATTATAAAGCTCACAAGTCAGTTTTGCATAATACAGAACCTTTAAAAATATAAGAATTATTTTGGTCTGTCTCATTCAGTGCTTACTGCTTTACTAACATTAAAAAAATCAGCTAGTATTGTGAGAATATATTCCATCAAATACTTACCAAATTTCACATTTACTTGAGTATAACACACTGAGCTATGTTGTATAAATATGCAATGTTTTAAAGTGTATTGTGCAACCTGTCTGGTGGAGGGTCCAACTCCTGCTTGTCTCCATGGAGATGTTATTGCTTTGTCAGGAATGTTCCATATCATGAAATTAAACACATCCCTCTCGCATTCATTCATTACGGGAATTTCTGTTGCTCAAAAATACAATATTTCTGGGAATGGAGTTGCCTCTCTACAGATCTGACCTGTAATGAAGCCTACAGTTGTCTGTCTTGAGATAGATACGCGTAATCTCTATCGTGGAACATTCTAGACAAAGCAATAATGTCTCCATGAAGACAAGTGGGTAATGGACCCTGCACCAGAAAATTTGCACAATGCACCTTTAAAGCCATACGGTGTACTTATTTCATAGATATGGAAGACTTCTGAACCATCGCCGTCCCTTTGTTGACCACGCCCGTCTCTATGGTAACGCCATGCTGCTCACTCCCACGTTCTCCTACAGTCACAACACAGAGCTGATCCTACGCGCCTTCTACACCCTCGAGGACTTTGAGCTAAAGACCCGACCCGTGTCCATGAACCCAAACTACCTCAAAAACCTGGACCTCTTCTGGAGGTCTCAAGGTTTAAATCCCCAAAAAAGGCTCAGCACTGGTCTCATGATGGCCAGTTTGGTGTTGGAGATTTGTGACAATGTGCATCTGTATGGATTCTGGCCATTCGATCTTCACCCACACACTAAACAGCCGCTCAGTCATCATTACTATGATAACAGACTGCCTACACCAGGGTCTCACTCCATGCCAGCTGAGTTTGAATTGCTGCTAAAGTTCCATAGAAAAGGGGTCCTCAAACTTCACCTGGGACAGTGTCCACCTCCCAAATAAATGAGTTTTTGTTTACATGCACATCAAAATTGGATTATCACTTGATTTCTGTACCTTTAAAGGTGCTGTACCTGATTTTTACTTTCTTAAAATCCTGAAAAAACAGAACTACTTGGTCCAGAGTTACTACATGGTCCAAAATTATTTCTCACTTACTTTGTGGATTCAAAGCATCCTAATTATTCATTGAAATGAGTTTATAAGTGCTTTTCACAACTCTCAGACCAGTGCAAGGTTTTGCCGTGATGGTTCTGCTAACAACAATTAGCATGTTAACCTGCACTTCTTGATTATCGGACAATAAAATGCTTTATAATTAGATACAGGCTTATTTTGACGTCAAGAGAGAGCAGCGTGCTATATCTGTACTGACGCAAGACACATTTTGCTCAGTTACATGGGATAAAATTGGTAAGGGTCTTTAGATAAACTAAATGATATACAAACAGGGGGACCACTGTCAGAAAGGAATTCAATTACTTGCAGTAGACTGTACTTACTTACTGTCATTTTAATAATCCTGTATGTTTTTGTTGCCCAGCCAGTGTTTTTATTGTTTACATAGACTCACTAGCAGTAGTACTACTGTTACTTATACCTCAGTTTTAGTTTTTTGCAGTTATACAGTATTATATACCAGGGCATTTTTCCACAGGCTAGACCCAACTCCTCCTATTTTAGTCCTGATGTGTTTGGTATGCTTCAAGTTCTTGTTTTGTCCTGGTGGAAGTTGTGAAAATGTAATATTTTAAGTTTACATTTGTTTACTTTGTACTAGTTATTATTATTTGTTTTGAAAAAAGGAGGGGGGATTATTAATTGTGGTAAGAAATTTATTGTTTTTATCAATTCAGAATAAGTTTGACCTATGATGTCTTATGTGTTATACGCTTTATACTGTTTATCTAAAAATAAACATATTTGAATGAATGTCCAGAAGTGTTTATATGAAATGGCAATCCTCACAAAGGCCACAAGATGTCTCTAAAACCATTTCAAATACATGATATCTATGAATTTGAGCTTTTATTTTATTTTTTTAAACAAGCCAATGCTTTGTAACAATAATGCTTTGAGGTCATAAAGTACAAGCTATAGTCAAATAGGTCAGATAATGGAAACAGGGAACTGGCAAAATAAACTTAAGAGTTTCTCTGTCCTGACATTTGTGTGAAAAGTTATGTATTTCAAGTTGTGAGGTTCTTTACTTCATAATGTTAAAAATGAACGACGTATCTTTTCTTGTCTCCGTGGAGATGTAATTGCTTTGCCTGGAATATTTCACAGAATGGCATTAATCTTATCAGTCTACAACAGGGATGGGCATTTTTTTTTTTTTTTTCCGTGGAACCACATGAGAAACAGAAGATATTGCAGAGGGCTGGGCCAAAATGCTCAATTCAATTCTACATAATATTAATTGTATTCCTTTATAAAAAGCAGTAAATAACATTGTTTTGACAAGCTGGTAAGACTGGTAAGTATATGTTATGAGTAATCAATGAAAAAGTGAGGTGAAATGTCATTAAAAAACACCTCTAAAATAAAAGCAGTGAAGATTTAGTCCATGCATGAGGTAAAATTATAAAATACGTTTATTTTCTAACTCCATATGATCTTAAACAGCCAAAAGGGTGTATGTGGCCACGGAGCTGTACAATGCTCAAGTCTGTTCTACAAGAAACTCAGAGTAATAATGTTTTTCCAAGTATATTGAATTTAATAAATGCTAAAATGTCATGCCATATTAAGGAACATCCCTGGCTATGTTGTAATGACATCTCCATAGAAAAAAGAAGCCCTCTGGAAAACCCACTAGAAAGGTTACATAGTGCACCTTTCATAAAAGCTTTTGTAGGTGTGTAATATGACCCAGAATCTTCATTGGAACACATTTACTGTATATGTAACTTCATCATAATATATTGTTTTGTTTGTTGCTTTATGTGTCACTCTCTCCACACCATAGACTGTATAAAGCCATGAACTAAAAGTGAGTGTGACGTCACCCATAGCGTTCAGCTCCAGTCAAATGAAGCTCACCGAGGCTTGCAGTTATAGGGGCAAATTTGGTGTCAAGTTCCATATTAAGAATTGGAATTGATTTATGGTCAAAATAGCGAAATAAAAACACCAGGATCAAGTAGAGAGGGTTAATATGAACATTTTAAGAGTTACAGAGAGAGTGATGACATTTTTTCAACACAAACTGAATTGGAGCCATATATACAGTCTATGCTCCACTCAGAAACCTCGGGATCTTCAATGTGATCTTTGCCTCTCAGACACAAATGTTCGCTGGTCATTAAAGTTCAGCTGTCACCAAACCAGCCCCAAAGTGCCCGGCCACAATGACACAATTTGATGTGATCTGCACAGACATACCGCCCCAGCCTCACCACTGCTCCTGTACTCAACGTAGACCACTCCCGGCACCATGGCGACAAGCAAAAAAAAAAAAAAAAAAAATGACCTGATGAGCAGCAATAGTAATAGAATATGAGATGTGGAAGTTAATATGCAGATTTCTTCTTAGTGATTTTAATGTGTGTATTATTAAAGGTGCTTTAATAGATTTATAGTGTTTGTAGTGATATTTCATTCTGTGTACTTGTGTATCTGAATTACACTTTTTTTTTTTTTTGATTGTGGCACAAGAACAACCCATAAAAATATATTAAAATCTGATCATTTGAGCACTGTTTAAAGCTGTATGTACAAGTAAAAAAAAAAAAAAAAATCAATAACATAATAAATAAATCTAACAAAATAAAATAATAGACATGTTCGATTGATTTAAAAATTAACAGCTAAAAATTTTGGGTCTTGGTTTGAGGTTTTATTCGCTGTATCAGACTGTAGTGGTGAAAAAAGAGCTAAAAGGAGTCCAAAAGGCAACGCTTTCCATTTACCACTCGATCCACGTTCTAACCTCACCTATGGAGTGGCTGGGTGTTCCTTTTGAGATAGGGTGAGGAGCTCCGTCACATGGGATGAGCTCAGAGTAGACCTGCTGCTCCTCCGTGTCTAGAGAGGAAGCTGAGGGGAGGGCATCTGTTCCAGAAGCCTCCCAGGGAAGACTCAGGACACGATGGAGGAACAATTTCTCTTGGCCGGACTGGGACCAACTCGGGATCCCACCGGAGGAGCCGCGACCCGGCCCCAAACAAACTGAAGAAAATGGATGGAGTTAATAAATTAAAGGCGCATTGTATTGAACTTTTTTGGAAACAAACGGCTGCACACCCTCCAGAAATTGCAATCAAAAAGTGTAATAATTTCAGTTAGATAACCCTTGCTACAGACAGTGTTGGGAAGGTTACTTTTAAAATGTATTCCCCTACAGATTACAGATTACATACCCCAAAATATAGTTTGTAAAGTAATCCATTAAATTACTTAAAGTGAGTAATGTAATCTGAATACTTTAGATTACTTGATTTGCTGTAGAGAAGCAAAGACGAGGAAATCTTCACATAAGAAGTTTTGTCTGCTCAAAAAAATGAAAAGCCCAGACTTTATTTAACATATTAAAAATATAGAAGAAGAGGAAACAGGGTGCGCGCAGCATGGTTTAGTCTTGTTAAATCCTGTTTTAGACCAGTTTTAGTCCTGGTTTAGTCCTGGTTTAATCTTGGTTTAGACCTTGTTTAGAACTGGTTTTAGTCCTGCTTTAGTTCTGGTTTTAGACCTGGTTTTAGACCAGGTTTAGACCTGGTTTGGACCTGGGTTTAGACCTGGTTTGGACCTGGGTTTAGACTTGGTTTGGATCTGGGTTTAGACCTGGTTTAGTCCTGGTTTAGACCTGGTTTAGAACTGGTTTTAGTCCTGCTTTAGTCCTTGTTTTAGACCTGGTTTTAGACCTGGTTTTAGACCAGGTTTAGACCTCGTTTGGACCTGGGTTTAGACTTGGTTTGGACCTGGTTTAGTGTTCGGCAATGAGTGGAATTACAGACAGTAACTGTAACTGAATACGGTTACTCATAATATGTACTCTGATTACGTAACTTCGGTACATGTAATCTGTTACTCCCCAACACTGGCTACAGAGCAGTTATATAGTTATACACCCAAAAAAAGTAAATCTAATCAAATTAAGATGAATTTGAATTAAGAAAGTTTTATCATGATTTGAGTAAATTTCACTTGACAAGTAAAATGATCTGCCAGTGGAATAAGACTTTTTGTACTTACATATGAAAATACATCTTGCTACACTTAAAAAAAAGAAAAACAACAACTTTTTGCACTTAAAATAAGAAACACAATTGAATGTTGCTTGAATTAAGAAAAACACTCTTCTTTCAGTGGTAGAAAATGTTCCTTGTCAAGTTGAATCTACTCAAATAAAGTAAAATGTTCTTCATTTAAACCATTTTAACTTACCTAGATATAGTTTTTTTCCCCAGTGTATTTATGTGTGTAAATGCTTTGATAAAAACAGAAGCGGAGACTGTTAAATTTGTTATGCATTTCTGATTTATTTTTGTATGAAAATAAGTCTTTTTCACATGCAAATTGACTGTATGTCTTTGAAGAAATCAAAGTCCTGGCTTTAGGGAATGGCATAATGGCACTCAAAGAAATGTACATTTTACAAAAGGCTTAGAAAATGCACACGACACACAGATGCTTTCACGAATCGCTTTACACTTAATCATCAGATCTCATTATAAGAGAGAGCACATCTTAACACATCTTAGTCTTATTGGACACTGACAGTGACATAGGTAGACAAATGGCTCAATAGTTTTATTAGTTATACTTTCTTCAATAAATACCACTTTAGAAAATATTTGTTAGTTCTGGGGAAAAAAAGAAATTAAATTGTAAGATTTCAAATGATGTCAGTAATGGGGATTTCATGCCCATGTCAGGGAATTGGGTTTATATCTCATGTAAAAGAATATAACTTTTTACATAATAATTATTTTTGCCCAATTTCAGTACAGATTGGCCACACAATACAATTCTCACCAGTGTTGCTGTTTTAAAGGGTT